GAATGACCCATCAGAATCTAAAGATCTTTCAAAAGCTCAACCAGACCTTGCTAAGAAGTATGCGACAGATCTTGAATCTTGGAGACAGTCAGTGATTAAGAGTGCAACTGAGACAGTCAAATGTATGGACCAATAAAAACCTATAGCTATAAGACATGCTGCATGTGCCGAACTGCTACAATATTTTCCAAATGCAACTATTATATATATAGCTACATGTAGTAATTAGATCTATAATAATACTATTACTTTTTTTCAATTTAAACTTTATAACGTGCAGTGTATAGCATCTTATCACGTGTGTTCTTAAAATTATGAATAATATGAAAAAGTGAACTAAAATCTCTCTGTGTGTCACTGTGTATAAACATAGATGCATTGCTATACAAAACTACTCATCAGTCATATCATCATCATTATTGTTGTTACTCCCATCAGTAGCAGCACTATCAATAGACTCATAATGAGGCTTCTTAGCTGACGGAGGACTTATCTCCTCTTCATAATCTTCATCATAATCATCACTGTCTTCCCTAATGCTATCACCCAAGGAAACTGTAACTCGAGGGAGAGGAGGAGGAGGGCCTGGTACAATAACTTCAGTCCTGTTACTATCAAGCTTGCCATTGCTATCAGTAAGAGGCTTGGAATCTTTATGCTCATTGTTTTGAGCTCCACTTTGCCCTCCCCCTCCATGACTGTGCTGCTGTAAAGTCTGTGATATTTGTTGGTAGATTTTGTCGTATTGTAACTTCAACTGCTCAAGATCTCGGAGGCTTGAATTGGGCGGAGTCGAAAGGAGTCCTCCCGACGTGTGAACGGCCCCCGGGGTCTGCTTGGGGGTGAGTAAAAATGGCTGACCAGTGTTCTGAGCTTGAATGACAATATTCCCCCCGGGGCCACTAGCCGACGGATTACCAGTGGAAGATGGTTGTATGTTTACTGGAAATGCTACAAGAGCAGAGGCGGAGCCAATATCACCTAACCCCGGGACGTCGGCCGCAAAACTAGACAGACCAGGTTGAACGCTACTAAACAAACTGGGTGTGGTCAATGACATTATGGGCGTGGTCAGTGAGTCTGTGTTGACTGTGACTGGAGGCGGATGAAAGTGAGAAGTAGCAACTGTTAAAGGAACAGGTTTTTGCTCAGAGGGGCTATCATCCGAGGAGGAAGACAGAGGGGCGTGGTCATTATCACCTTCAGCTGATGGGGGAGGAGAGGAAGGAATCTGGAGAAAAAAATGAATAACTACCCCGGGTCCACTACTAATTGTGTGTGCTAATTTTAGCATTTTTGGATTTGGCTCTACATTTTTTGATCTATATTAATGATACCCATTACATGTACTAATTTATGAGTCAATTTAGTTTATTGTTTTAAAAAATCCCTCGCAAAACTCGTTGAAATTCAACAATGCACATGTAATATGTTGTACTTACTGTTCGTGACATGAATCCTTTCTGGCCTGGAATGACAACGCTTAGCTGTGGCCTATTGCTTGTTGATTCATTGTCACCATCAGCTTCTCCTCCTCCTCCTCCTCCTCCCTCATCAACAAGAGGAGATTTACCGGAATAAGATAGAGGGATATAGTTACGACCACCACCTTGAACAAAAAAGAATAAAAATTATAAATTCACTGACAAGAAGCCACACGATCACTATGCCAAATCCTTTGGGGATTGGGAAACCATACATCTGATAATAACCTTTTACTAGCTACATGTAAATTACATGTTTACACATGTAGTTCTCGCACAAAATAATTCCAAAACATCAATCATCCTTCTCCCTTACCAGGTAAGTGTAACTTCAAGGTCTGACTCCGTATGGTTTGCAAGCGAGTTGGAGTCCCAGCAGGTGGAGGCATAGAGCCAGTACTGCCAACAGAGAGAGGGGACTTTATCGTCTTTAGAGGGAAGCTACCAGGAGTGATGGGAGAATCAGTAAGCGATGAAGAGCCCGTGGAACTAAGTCTCTTTACAGGGACACTGACGGGCATAGCATCAGGTACTTTAGTGGGCAGCACATGAACTAGTGAAGGAGGGACTGGTGACGGGACTGGCTGTGGTGGAGCCTGTTGTAACTGTAGAATTAAAATACAATAAGTTATACAGTACATTAAATAATGCTGGAAATAGAAAACTCCATGGGCATAACTTTAAAATGATACAATCATACATGTACATGTAATTTGGTCTCTTTGTGCTGGGGCAACTGGAACAACAAACACCCTTCACTGGGATGTACATGTAATTAGAAAATAATAATAATTTTTACTTTAAAACTACATGTACATACATTATAGCTATTACCATTACCTCAGTATGGAGGACATGATCAAACTCCTCATCAATCCTCTGATACTGTGCCTGAGTGTTGGGGCTCAATGGAGGGACAGAGACAGCTACTCTTCTAGGAGGAACACTTCCTCCTCCTCCTCCTCCGTCTCCTGCTAACAACATTGAAGCATCTATGGAGTCATCGTCTCCATCCAGATCATCCCCACGACCTCTTTCCTTCTTTGTAATATCCTACCATTAATACGGATCCTTTGAAATAATGTAATGTACTGCTAGTCTGTTTTTATAGTAATAATGTCATTATTATTATTATTATATCATTCCTACTATTAAGAAGTGCATAAACCATATCCTTTTCGATAAGTTACTATTAGTGTCATCATTGCTAATATTAAATTATTGGGGCAAGTCCCTCCAGGGTTTACATTGTTACCTGTACATGTGTAGTAGAGGTTCCCACAAAGCATGCTAAGTGAGCTACATATTTTTTTAAAAAGAATGCTTTTAGTAACTTTAAATGTTTAATTTAAATTGGAACCAGCTAAAAATTTCTACGTCAAGAAATATCATTAAAACTGAGAATTCTCTCCTAGTCATTTATGCCCCCATTTTGGAGTGACTTTAAAAATTTATTTAAAAATCCAATTTTAATCAGAAACTATTTTTGGCACAATTTGGCCGAATTCCACATACGACTTTGGCCCAATTTTGAACCACTTTTTAAAATTGCAAAAAAAATAGTAAACTAGAATAGAATACACAATATACATGTACATGTACATGCACTAAATTCCCTGCATGCATACCAATCACAGTAATAAAACTAACAATGTCACTGCATTTGCACATACCTCCAAGATATCGGCATTCGTTTTGCTCTCGTCAGGGTCCTTAAACTCGGTATACCTTATCAGTATTGAGTTCATGTTAGAGGAGGCATACTGATAGAGTTTGCTGTTGTGGGCAATCATTATGACTGCTATCTCCACGTCACAGAGTATGCTCAATTCGTAGGCTTTCTTTAAGAGGCCTGCTTTACGCTTACTGAAAGTTATCTAAAATGAAAGAGAGAGAAGGAGCATTTAAAATACATGTATATATATGTATATATACACAAAATCTTTGTCCACCTGTCTACTTCTCTCATCTTGAATTCTGGTGATCTGGATCTTCTTTCTTCCCATGACGGCAACTGGGAAAAAGAGAGAGAAAGAATGAGAGCCATGTCTCTAGGTGTAGCCATTTTTGGCTCTCTGGTCTATTTTTAGAGGTCGAGTACATGTAATGGCCGCCCAACCTATTTATATCTCGGAATCTATTTTTGGTTTCTTGTGGTACTTGGGCGGTTTTCCGAGAAGAGTCTTCTTTTTCGCGACAGGGAAAGGAAGGGAGGCCTTGTCTTTGTCTTTTAAAGAGAAAGACAATCTGAGATCGAGGGCTTTGAACTTTAGCGTCTGGAGAGATTCGAGAGAAAGAAGAGGGATCACGTGATCAAAGATGGCGTCTTAGAAAGAGCTCGTGGAAGAAAGGAGCGGAAAATGGCGAATTGTCTTGTACCTAGTTGTCCTTGCAGCCACTACGAGGGACCAGAGAAAGGGTGAGTGCTAGCAATTAGCGACCCTTTGGGCTTAAAGCAACAAAATTACAGCTATAAAAATTAAATTTAAAAAATTTAAAAACGAGAGAAATTAATTTTATTTTATTTCAGGAGAGTGCTTGCATACAGGCCAGATTGTGGTGGGTGTGGTCATCAAAAGACCCTCCATCGTCTCCCAACCAACACAGACGAGGTCATAATGAGAGAACTACTGGCAGCAGAATCAGTTCCATGCTGTAGTCTCATTCCCATGTCTCAGCTCCCGAGTATGAAACATTTCAGTTCCTATGATTTGATACCCATACCACCTGATGAAGCCGATAACCAGGTTTGATGCAAAAATAAATACACAAAATTGATTGGTCATTGGACATGCAAAATTAATAATGGAACAATTTTGGGTTGTGTTTTGGCAAATGGCTAGAAAAACTCCGATTTCTCCAAAACTACCCCCCCCCTCTAAATTTACCAGCTATAATGTAGAATCTACTGTTATAATATTCCATAGGCTCCATCCAATGTATTCTGTCTGTGTAAAGGCTTTGTTCCAAACATGCCTTCCATTCTGCACCAGTTCACTTCAGTCTCATTCGAGACCATACAATCATCTCTACCCTCAGTCCCTTGCACCAGATGCACTCACCCGCTTCTCATGCACCAGAAGACTCACCCATCTCATTATTTATGTGAACAGAGGGTGCTAGGACTCAAGGGGAGTCTCTCGTTAAAGAGGGTAACCCTTCCCTCTCCTGGTCTTGTTGATTTGGCACTGGGCCCGGATAAGAGGATCGGATTTGTTGCTGTGACTCAAACGGACTCCTCCTATCAGCTGGTTCTCTTTGATAAAATACTTGCGGCTGAAGGAAAAGGTGTCAAAAGGAGGAGTGGTCGGCTAGCCAAGCGGGCGAATGCAACAAATCGCGTTGAGGAAGAGGAAGAAGAAAAAGCGGCAGAGTCTGATACCTCAGTGTCTCAGCAAATGATCGATTTCTTTAACACTGCGTTAGAAGCTGCCACACCTATTAACGAGGTATGGCGGTTTGTAGTTGGAAATTATTATTGAAATATTTTTTAGTATTTGAACCAAGAGCCAACGACTGTGTGTGGGTATTGGACTGACACCCCGACTGACCACGCCTCCTCTCAGTTTGTCGTTGCCGTGGGAACGGAGGGCGGGGTCACGATTCACATACCTTCTGATGGAAGCTATCGGAATATTGAGACACTTCAAGGAGTAACAGTGTAAGAAAAAATAGATAAAAGTTTAAAACATATCTACTTATTTTTTTAGATTACATTTCTTGACAGTTGATAATACACTGATGTTATGTGTGGGTGAGGGTGAGTCCTCTGGAGCTATCAAGTGCTGGGGACTCAAAAAGTACCGTACATGTACATGTACATGTATACATGTAATTATCGATAATCTCTATAGTGATAGCACAGCATTATTGACCGAATTTAATAATATTGAGACATCAGTTACAAATCTTTTGTGGATTGAACACAATAAGTTAGTTTATACCGACTTTATAATGTAGTAATTTTTCACTTGTCCTTCTCTTTCTTTCCAGTTATTTATTTGCAGGTACAGAATTAGGCCAAGTTTATCTTTTTCAGCTTAAATCTTCTGCTGACGACAAAATGGAGAATGGACAGAATGGAGAAAGAGATGTTGGATTCTCTTTAGAATTGTGCCAGAAGATTCAATCATGTTTGGGACCAGTGACAGCATTACACTTCTGCCACAGCCAACGGTAACACATACAGCTACATGTAACATGTTTTATGTTTGCTATTCTCTTCTTAGACTAATTTTGGTCGGCTCGGCAGATAACGATATCCATGTTCTCTCGCTGACAACACTTGTCGAAAATCTAGGAAAGCCTGGGAAGGATTCGTTACTGACAAAATATTGTAAGTCGTATACTAGGGCGTGTGGCAGTCATCTGCCCCTTAACCATCTCTAGTTCCTTTAAAGAAGAAAAGAGCAGACAAACTTGTGCACTGTGCCAGAATGAAGGGTAAAACGTTTCCTTATAATGCTACCAATATTCCTCTTCTCCAGGTCATCAGTCATTTGTTAACAGTATAACTGGTTACTGTGCTAACGTACTGAGTCTCGGGTGGGACAGCTATGCCATGTTCTGGTCTCCTACAGAGATAGGGCAAGAGGTAGCCACTGCTATTAAACTGCAGGGGAGCAGCTCCAGTTTTCAAAAACAAGAATTGAGTAGCAGTACAGTTGAGCCTAGTTTGCTGTATAAGTTGGGAGTGGAGCAGTATTTGAATAACGTCCCGTGTGGTTTGTGGGGCATTTTGGATGAGTGTGTCGTAACTGTGTATCAAGGAACAGGGAAACAGCTGATCATAGCCCTGTATTAGAATATTGATGATTATTATATTGATTATGATTATTATTATTTAGTCTCTCATCGCTTCACATATTAATTTTTTATCTTAATTAAATGTTGTCAAAAAGATTTGTTCCATTGTCACGAAATCCGTGACGAGCAAAAACCCATTTGTAGCCTTTGCTTTTTTAAAAATTTTGGCATTTTAAAAAAATGACTGTAACTCAAAAAATTGAAGTCGGAATCAGCTCAAACTTTCTACACAGCATAAGAACATCAATATGTGCCAGAAAATGTAATAAAAGTTGGGGGTGATTTTTGAACCATTTTTTGAAAAAACTATGGGCTATATAGCCTTGGGTACTTTTCAAAATTTTGGCATTTTCTTAAAATGACAGTAACTCAAAAAATTGAAGTCGGAATCAGCTCAAACTTTGTACACAGCATAAGAACATCAATATGTACCAGAAAATGTAATAAAAGTTGGGGGTGATTTTTGAGCCATTTTTTGAAAAAAAACCATGGGCTATAGCCTTGGGTACTTTTCAAAATTTTGGCATTTTCTTAAAATGACAGTAACTCAAAAAATTGAAGTCGGAATCAGCTCAAACTTTCTACACAGCATAAGAACATCAATATGTGCCAGAAAATGTAATAAAAGTTGAGGGTGATTTTTGAGCCATTTTTTGGAAAAAAACATGGGCTATAGCCTTTGCTTTTCTTCTCCAAAAAATATCTTAAATACTCATAACTTGAAAAATATTTGTCAAAACAGCTCAAACTTTCTACACAGCATAAGTAAAACGTGTGACTCCCCACATTCCTTTATGATAACAATAGATATTATTATTATTAATGTTAATAATAATTCACAGACATTATATGCACACAATATAATAATGGATAGAAGAAGTGTTATAAAGATGTGAAGAGAGAGAGAGAGAGAGAGAGAATGCAATGAAAAAGTTAGTGTGTTGATGTTGTTGTTACAGTGTGTGAAACAATATATATAGTACACAATAATGATAATAATAATATCAAAATAGTAAAAGATATAATTTTTGAATGTTAAAAGAGTGAATGAGAAGATAAGAGAAGTGTATGTAATACTAGCTGTCTCTTTTATTCGGTGGTGGAGGGGGAATAGTGAACACACCTATAATAAAAATAAAATAAAATAATTATAATATTCGTAAATTTCATATACTGTATAAAGGTGATATTTAAAAACTGCATAATAAAAAAATTTCACAATCAAACTTGAAATTTTTTAGCATGCAAAAATTGAATATTAAATATTGAAAAATAATTCATCTTTGCCCTTACCAGTTGGTGTAGCTAATGGAAAAGGTTGCATGAAAGGTATCACTGCAGGCATTCCTTGACTAGCAGCAAGAGCTTGTTGAAAGTTAGCCATGGCGGCCTCGTTCTGTTGCTGCTGCTGCTGTTGTTGCTGATGCTGTTGCTGGGCCATAGCAGCAGCTGCCATCTGCTGCTGGGCCAGTAGCTGCATCTGAAACGCAGCCTCGTTTGACTGAGGAATACCCATCGCCGATAACTGACCGGCTCTTGCTGCGGCTGCCTGCCAAGTCAGGAAATCCTGAGGACTTTGAAAAGTGAGACCAGCTCCGCCTGAGTTCTTGAGAGCTTCCAGTTGCAAGAGGTTCAGTTTCATGAAATCTTCGCTCGTCGTTGGGCCTCCGCCTGCTGTTAGTATGGGTGTGGCTGCAATTCCGTTACGTATGGCTACAGGAAGAGAAAAGGAATAGTTAAAATGTGGCATTGTAAGTGGTAGTGAAATTTTAATACTAAAAGTATAGATTAATAGTAAAAATCTGTTTTCACTAACAGAAGCTGATAATGATGAATACACCTAAACATTTACACTATACATAATAATAGTAATAATAATAATGATAATAATAATAAATGGTCTACACTACACTATAATACTAATAGGAAGATTATTATTGTAAAAGTTAATGATGTTAGTGCAGCCACATTAGCATTTCCTTTGTAGCCTGAGACTGATTGGTGATCTCATTAGCAGACAAAACGGCTAGGAGGCATTGGATTACAACATAATAACAATTAGCCATATGTCATCAAACAAGTGTACAATCAAAGGAAGGACAGAGGGAATTAGTGCAGTGTGTGTGTGTGTACAAAATTAATGAGAGGGAGAATGTGTTTCATATGAAAGAGAGCAATGTACAAACAACCCTGCCTAACTACAGACCTTACTATAGGTATGAGTCTAGTGTATGTACATTATATATAGTGGTATTTATGTGTGCATGTAGTAGAATGGGAGAGAGAGAGAGAGGGGATTAAATTAAAGACAATTAATACGAGTATAAAGATATGGCAGTCATGTTACACACATGCTCTAGCCTATCACATAACAGGCAGTATCTGATAACAATACTGTATAAGTGATACACCATATCATCCACACACACACACCTATTCCAGTTACACTGAATGAGCCAGTGATATATACCCCATACCTATCAGCTTACCAGTCTATAATGAGATTTTACATAGAAATGGGCTACAACACAAAAACTGTGGATTAGTATGGGACTATGTACATGTACTGTACATGCACATAGAGTGGTTACTTTGGGTGAGTCAGACCAATTATAATACATTAGTGAGCAGGCCACATTAATAACATCATGTACCCACAAGCTTCCACCACTGACTGATAGGAGTGTAGTATGCACTACTAACAAATATAAATAGCAAAATAAAATGAGGAAGCCTTCACTGTACGCATTTATATACATAAGGGAATAGAACAAGCAATAGAAATGCTGTAAACTCTGCTTTGATGTGCAACCAAAAGGAGCCAATTGAAGCTGCACCAAAGCAGAAATGTAGATTAGAATCACAAAGACTACAAGAAGACAGACAATATAACAGTGATAGTAACAGAATGAGGATTGGATCCCCAATGACAACAGAGCCCAGAGGGTAAGTGTATTATATCACTCAGTAATCAATAGCATGATCAATTATCCACCCCAATAGGCATGTAATTGAGGAAGAGAGAATACTGTCTGTTTACTCATAGTGTTATTATTATTATTATATGGAAATGACAAACAGACATCACACCACACCATCACCGGTTCACTCAACTGTCCCTTTGATAAATAATTGATGCCATCACCTCATAAAGAGATGATATGATTTGTCTCCTAATTTCACGCATAGAAAGATCCGGAATGTATTCTTGATCCAGGCCACCCTTTTCTTATAATAATAATAATAATAATAATAATAATAATAATAATAATAACAACAACAAAAATTACATTCTCTACTTTTGCTTATGCTCATCTCTACACTATAATATCAATCCTGTACATTAATCTTTAATATAAAAGCTTACAATGTGTGTGTGTGTGTGTGTGTGCGTGTATGCATGGTTGTGCATGTGTGTGTGGGTGCATTAATTGCCACAACAAATCACTCCAACAGATCAAAGGAGGAGAGAGGGAGAGAGTAAACTGATACGGTAGTGAGTAGTGTACAATTACAAATGTACAATGTACTTAAAATCAAATTTAACAACCAATACACACATACAGTTACATGGGCATATGTGGTACACGTACATGTACATTATGTGAATCTGATTACAATATTGTCTGACCTACAGGAAATATCTCAATAAATAATGAAAATGTGCTAAGAGACTAACAATTGGGACCATAATAGTAGATCATGAATATTGTTAAGGACATGAATGCAATGTGTATAATATGAATGACATTATACACTGTTGATGATGATCATGAAATAGGAACAACAATAATAATATTTATGTACATGTACATGTGTACACATACAATTATATACATTGTACATGCATCTTATTAAAATAATAAAACTAGAAAAAAGAGTGAAGCAAAGTTATGACAAAGCTTAGGGCTGGATAAGATTATTACTATCATCACCATTATTACACAAACAAACCTAACAGAAAATAAATGCATTGCATACACACATTATCATAATTATCATAATTATCACATTGTGTACATGTACAAGTATTCTATTATTATTATTATTATTATTATTATTATTATTATTATTATTATTATTATTATTATTATTATTATTATTATTGGTACTCACTTGAGTGCGTGGGTGAAGGTTGTGGAGGGTGTGAATGAGAAGGAATAGAACGAGACGAAGAAGAACTGCCTCCTCCTCCTCCATCTTGCTTGTGTCTACTGGAAGCATGTGCCATCCTCAAATGACCTCCGCCACTTTGGGACTTTCCTTCACCAGGTAACTGGCCATGACGGGACGACCCATGCTCCGGTTTGGTAGGCGTTGGTGTTATCACGTGAGGGTGACCCGAGAAACCGTGAGGCTGCCACTCGTGAGGTTTCTTAGGGTTGGGGCTAGGGGTCTGTCTAGCCCGAGAGTGAATGGAGTCCTTTGGCTTAGAGGATGGAGGAGGAGGAGCAAGAGCTGAATTAGGTTGAAGAAGCTGAAGGTTATACTGAGCAGAAAAGCTAGGAGGAAGGTGGGAAGGAGATGAGATTGATAGACCGGGTGGTAGGTTAAGGATGGTGGGCTGAGCCATGCCCCCGGCGGCTATAGGTACGAATGAAGTAGGAGGAAGAGAGCCAGGGGGCAGCCATTGCTGTATCTGCTCGGGCTCTTTCTTTATCTGAGCTCCACCAATAATGCCTCCTTCCTTTCTCTGATGAAGCCTCTTCTTATCCGGTTGAGATGGTCCTCCGGCTTTGCTAGAGGAAGAGCCCCCACTGCTGGACGAGTGGTGATGGTGGCCCGGTTTAGAGGGAGGACGGGATGGTCTGTGCTCTTGTTTAACTTGAGGTGGGTGGCCAACAATACTTCCCATGTGTCTATGGAGCATGTGATCAGATACGACAACCCCTGGTGGAATCACGCTGGGCTGATGATGAATACGCTCTTTCTTAAAAGAGCTGGGAGGGCTTGGCGACGAGGCGTGTCTGTGATCGTGCTGTTCACGAGGTCTCTTTACTTTTGGTAGACCACTTCCATCAGCTTTGAGCTTCTCTTCTGCAGCTGCAGCTTTCTGTCTCTCTCTCTCGTATGCTATGATCTGATACTCACGTGACATCGGTAGGCTGGGCTCGTACACGAATCCATCAGGTACTGACTTACCGTCGCCCTGCGACTGAACGACTCCGCCCGGTTGCATGATAACGGACGGGTCACTGGGCTTGCCACTCTTAAAGGATGAGGGGAGAGGAGGGAGTGGCTTACCACTCATTATCCTCATGCTGTCAATGTCCTTGCTAGTCGGAGGAGACATCTGGTGCTTGTGACTTGAGGAGTCGTCAGGTTTTCTCTTTCGACTGCTCCCACTCAGCCCCTTACCCTTGTCCTGAATGACGGTGTGTGTGGGGTTTCCAGGAATCATTATGCCCCCGGGGGCCATATCAGAAAAATGTGCCAGCCCGTGAGGGGGGAAGTGGGCGGAAGGATTGGAAGTATCTACGTTTGGAGGAAAACGAGAATCTAGTTCTTTCCCGATTGAAGAATTGACTGCAGCAGGAGACCAGTATTGCCCTTTCATGACTTTTGGTGGCTGTGGCTGCAACAGTTCCTTCTCAATGGCTGCCGAGTGTGAGGGGGCGTGTCCAGAGGTGTGGTCGCCAGGAGATATTGGAGGAATCTGATGGTTATTTAAAAACGAAGCCGAGTTAAAGGAGAGCTCCATTGGCTTCCCATCCTCCTTGGCCTCCTTGACGACAGACGGGGTCGATACCACACCCACCTTACGATGATGGACCTTCTTCTTGACCGGACTTAATGACCCAGAGCCAGAACTGTCGCTGTCGTCGCCTCGGTTGCCATGGAGATGAAGCCCATGATCTTCAGGGTGGTAGGCGAGGGTTGACTTCAGACAATCGCTGGAGGTTTCTTTATCCGAGAGAGTATCATCAGAAGAGACCACACCCTTTTCATCATGTACCGGTTTCATGGACGCAGCAACGTCAACCAAAGTATGAAAATTAACATGATTATCGGCGGCCATTTTACTGTCTCCGCCCCCTCCGGCAACAATAACAGAATTGACCGTGGGCGGGAATAAAACCGAGGGAGTGTTAGTGGATGGAGGACTAGTCTCTTTGGGTTTTTCCTTCTCGTCCAGTGCCAGTTGGGGCTGTGGGGACTTGACAGCATCAAAAGGAGGAAGAGAGGGACCGGTTTTAGTCTTGTCCTCGGCGCCACCTGTTATAGATGGTACGTGGTGGAGTCCGTTTGATTGCCTCAAGGGAGAAGAGGTCTGGTCAGATGTAAGGGAATGCTCTCCATTCAAATGAGTGCCTTTCACACTATCAGCTTCCGTAAACTGACCTCGATCAATCAGTTTCGACTGCTCCCGATCGGTATTCATGCTCTCACCGGTTTCCATGGCAATGATGGAGGATTCTTTGCTTTCGTCTCTGTTCTGCTGGTCGCCGTTTTCTCTCGGCTGGTCCTCCATTGCTTCAACATCAACGGAATCCTTTTCAGAGTCAGCAGATACTTTAGCTCCAGCACCTGCTCCAGTCCCTCCTAGCAGGTCCTTTAGCTTGAGAGTCATATCAGGAACACCAGCATCTGAGAGTCTGAGAGAGAGGGGGGAGGAATTGAAACAGAAAATAAGAATACAAACTATAAAGATACATGTATATGCATCATATAATTTATATCTATAATAAAAATGTGTACATTTAATCATGTGGAGACACATGCATAATTTTTATCTTAGTGGAGACATAAATGTGCATGTAAATTCAGAATAAAATAAAATACTTTTAAAGTACATGTACACATGCACGTGTACATGTATGTACATGTACCTTGGTGGAGCCCATTTGTGATGCTGTACATCAATAAGTGAACCAGAAAAAGTCTTATTTCTCCATCTTACATTAACCACCAGGACACCTGCAAATGAATACATAAACAATAAATTAATACTATTATTACGACATCAAACAGAGAGTCAATTATACATAACACAGGAAGTAGCAATTGGCATGATAATAATAATAATAATAATAATAATAAAGTACATGTATATGTAGATTTGTACATGTACATGTGGTGCATACATGTACATGTGAAGACATAGAGAGAGGTTGGAGAAAGAGATTAGAAAGAGAGAGGGAGATATATATATATATATATATATATACACACTGTATATATATATATATAGGCAAGCAAAACTAGGATGGCCTAGAGATACAAGAATGAAATTACATGTAAGACAAGGACAGTAATGCCAGCACACATGTGTACATACATGTACATGCTGTTACATGATGTAACACAGGCTGTACATGATCCTCTAGATTTTGTCATGTCTACATGTGTATATACTATACTACCCTAACATCATCAATCCTTAAAAATGAATTCTTGCGGGCTGCACAGGGAGTGGCAAGCCATTGAAACTGTACAAGAGGAGACAGGCAGTGTATCCTATTACTAATGACATAAGATATCTTCAAAGGCTTCCCCCCCCCTAGCAACAGCATAGCGACAGTGTAGTGGCCTGCCTAATCCAATAACAAGGAACAAAGCTACTAGAGGCAGTTGAATGTTTTCGTAACAGATGCCAATGATATTAGCCAGAATGTAGAGTAAGAGAGAGAGAGGAAGGAGGGGAGAGAAGTATGAGAAGATGTGGCTGATGAATTACTACACAGTATAAACTGAATTCATCCAAGTGTTTGTGAGTTGTGGTAGAGGTTGGTTGCCATAGAGTAAAGATAAATATTTGACTCATGTACATGGACAGAGAAAGATAGAGTAAGGATACCTTAATTGATCTGTTGGCAACTGGCAGTGTTCCAATACACACATACACATACATGTACACAATAATAACAACAACAACAACAACAATAATAATAATAGTAATAAGTACAAGTAGCAGCTTGGAGAGAAGAGAGAGAGAGGGGGGGAGAGGGAGAGGGAGAGGGGGGGGGAGAGGGAGAGGGAGAGAGAGAGGGGGGAGAGGGAGAGGGAGAGAGAGAGGGGGGAGAGGGAGAGGGGGAGAGAGAGAGAGAGAGAGAGAGAGAGAGAGAGAGAGAGAGGGAGAGAGAGAGAGAGAGAGTAGAGGCAACATAATATACTACTAACCAAAGAACAAACAAGATAAATTATACAAACAAATACATATTTACTAAATGGGCTATAATATATAATTACAATAACACACATACTGTACATGCATACCTTGTCAAGCCTAATGAGGTCTGACCCAATATATGGATGTAGTGTGTACATGTACATGTATTAGCAGTCATAACAAGGGAAAGAACATATGTGAAATAAAAGACTACCTTTGTAAACTTAATAGTGGGCAGATAAAGGTGTCAAAATCACACATTCATCATGCAATTGTAATTCTACAGGGACAAACCCCAAAATACACAAACATGAAATTCAAATTCCAATTAATTGTGTGTTCAGTTGTAAAAACAAGATTTAAGTCTATGAATACACCAGCTCAGCTCTTACCATACATAACAAGGGCATACTCATCTAAATTAATGTACTGTATACACTAACATCCCCTTAGATTTAAAGGAAACTAGATTGATTACTTAATAATAAAAAACACAAACTGTTATTGCTTTCCATCTCAGCTGAGTGCATATAACATGCACCACTCTACATGCGATGATGCTATAAACTGATTATAATAATAATATCATAATCATCACAAAGAGAATATGAGTATGCATATACATGTACCTATGTGTATTTTAAATGCTCAGTGTTTATCTTATGATATTAAAGCCTACACACTTGCTTATAGCAACCGGAGAGGATCATTAAATCAACACGCAAAATGTCAACAATCAAACTTAAGACAAAAAAGATTACATCTATACATTGCATGTACATGTAATCACACATCAGAATATATTGCTGAGGGGGATGACCATGTACATGTACAACAGTACAAGCAGGCATTGGATGTCATTCCCAGAGGAATAGAGTATACGTGTACATGTACACAATCTAATCAGATTATGTACATTCATTATATCCATACAATATCAAGAATGATTCTTTTATGGTGACTCTATTGATTTAGGCAGCTTTCATTATGAACCAATTTCCCCTCTATTTGTATAAAGTGGTCCTAAGCTAAAGGCCGATAATGTACATGTACATGTAACTGTATATGTAAACCTTCACATTGATTCACAGGTGTACATGTACGCATGACACAACCACAGGATTACTAGTTATAGTGACACGTGTAGCATAAGATGGATTAGGTATTAATGTATATGTAAACATGCAGGCTTTAGAGGGAAAACCCAAAATAAGATCACTAAAATGTGATTAGTTTATGAATCTACATACATGTACATGTACATGCACGCAAATCAGTAGATGTTTTTGCATGTATATGACGCATACAAGCGCCTCTATACTGACTTGAGGGTGTGTGTGTGTGCATATACGTGTACCATATATGTATGATATACAACTCAGTAATCACATAATTGGATCAGAACATGAACACACACACAATTACACAATTACATATGTATCTGTGGTCACAAATTAGAGAATGAAATCAAGGGACTGATGTCATCATGTCACAAAACAAGTACATGTACTGTACATGTACTGTGATTCAGCATGTGCATATACCAAATGTAAAATGACACAAGTTCATGTATAAAATATGTACATGTTTCCTTCCCTACTTGGAAGACTTGTAGGGAAATTAAAGAGGGGGAAAAGTAGTAAAATACAGGACATGACATGACACAATGCCTTTTCTTAGAAACAGCAAGAGATAAGAGTGTCTAACTATTAATTTAGTGGCTGATCGAATTACAAGATTACTACCAGTGGCCTATATTGAATTAGGAGTCTACAAACGAATTGGATCAGTCGTAAGTGGATTATCGATTTCGTAATCAAAGGTTCCACCTGCTTTGTGAACCCAATGTTTGAAGTTAGCAAATCACAAGAGCAGACAGTAATATATACCATGACTAATGCTATATAGGGCCTTTGCTGTGACATATGAGAGCCATGTCTGCCTCTGTCTCTGTTTGTGTGTAGTAGGATCATAGATAATAGAGTAAGGATCATGTTTGTATGTGTAACACATGCCAATCATTGCTAATTCACTTATAGTCAAAGTAACGTACCATTTTTGAAGGAGCTAATTTCTAGGGGAATCGCTATACATGTACGTACATGCACATTAATGGTATTTATAGCAATTCCTGCAATGAGTTTAATTCATGCCAATTGAGTATGTACAGTACATGACATGTACGTTTTGGTGGGGTTTCATTTTAGAAAATGGCTCTTGAATTGCCAAAATGTGTAGCCAACTTAGAATTTACCTACTAGTACTAGATCTATCACATACATTACATCATATACATACAGATCTCTCTCTCTCTCTCTCTCTCTCTCTCGTTCTTTCCCTCTTTCTCTCTTTCTTTCCCTCTTTCTCTCACCATCCAGTTCCTGACAGATAGCAGCTTGTAAGTAAGTGTTAGTCCCAGAGGTGAGAGAGGGAGTGAGTCCATCAGTAACTGCAGGAGTACCAGCCACACTCCCACTAGTGGCACAGAATGGACTGTACAGAGTTGGCTGACCCCACCCCCAACCGGCAAATGGAAGAGCTGTGTTAGTTGTGGGAGGGCCAAGAGAGGGAGAGGGAAGGACGGAGCTACTCCCGGCTGTTGCTATGGTGACAGGTTTCGGAGGTAGCGTGGGGATCGGTGGTCTTGGTTCCTGTTCAGCTGACACTCCCTGCAAATAGAGAGAAAGTGATTATTATATTAATTATTTATTTTCATATTTTGCTTGTATTTCTTGTCCCGTCTACCCCAAACACAAAATGATAATGCAGTTTATGTGTTTGTGTCTGTACTCGCGATGTACGTGTACATATGTATTGAATGCTTTCCTATCATTTGGTAACAAAAGACACGCTACAAATAAAAATGTAAAACTACAACCCAACAAACACACGATAATCAATATCACACCGTAGATCAGTATGTACCATGCATGCATACACCAATGTGCTCCTGTGAATTATATTCTCTCATTATAATTCCCAAACATCTTCCTCCCTCTCACCCTCCCCCTCTCTCTCCCTCATAAAATGGAAGTCTAGGCATTTCTAAGGTTAAACAGCATTCTCTCCAAGTTACAACCTATAATGTACATGTATAAGCAATGGAACTACATGATGTATGCTCTTCCTTTCCCCTTTCTTTCCCACCCTCTCTCCCTCTCCCTCTCTCTCTCCCTCCCTCTCTCTCTCTCTCTCTCTCTTTCTACAAACAAAACAAGCTTGACATCTGTCAGGTACAACAAAAACATGGTTCATATCCTCTCAATAGATAAATGTCACTATCAAGTGAACAAGGTATAAACATACAATCCTAACAAGGCCCTAGACAGAGTTACGGACAAAGACTAATGGAGAGATAGCAACACAGCTATGTGTAGTGGCATGATGAAAGAATTGTGTTCAACTACATGTAACTATATATCGTTGACATGACGTGTAGGAAAGTCAAAACATAGACACACATGTCCGCGGACATTTAAAATGACATATTATCTTACACATCTTACATATCATATAATGAGAGGAGAGAGAAGAGGAGGAGGAGAAGGAGAGGAGAAAGAAAGGTAATTAAGAAAGAGAGGTCAATGTGAAATGACATGCATATGTACACAATACAGTATAAATATATACATGTACATGTAACACATATTGTACATGTACATGTAGGTGACACATGTAGATCATGTACAGGAAGGGAGTCATGAAATCCATTTGGTGAGACACAATACATGTATACAGTTAAATACTGCCAGCTATTAACAAACAATGCAGTCCCACACAAAGCAATGAATAAAGGACACAGCCTGTGAATACATGTACTAGTACACATTGACTGTGAATACATTATAATGGACACTTAATATGGAGTGGGTGAGAGCTAAGGTGGGAGAATTCATGAGGATATTGAGCATAATGAATGATATAGAGACTAGGTTATGTCTAGGGAGGTTTATGTATTATTTACATGATAATGGAGGGATGACCTTATAAGTGGTGGGGTGGCTACAGGTGTTACATGTACATGTACATGTATGCAATACATGCATGTCAAGTAGAAGCATAAGAGGAGAGAGAGAAAGAGGGGGGAGAGAGAGGGGGGAGAGAGAGGGGGGAGAGAAGGAAAGAGAGAGACAGAGACACTGCTAACCTGTACTATTGATACTTCAGGTGATAGTCCCTCATCATTAACAGGTGAGTCTGGATCATGATGATGTACTGACTGAGGAGAAGAATCCACCACCCCAGAATCAATGACAGCCACAGTCTCTCCTCTCCTCTCATCAGACTCAATAGCGGATGGGACAATAGAGAGATCCAATGCATTATTCAACACTCCACCTCCTGCCCTGCCCCCTGTGTGAATGAGATCGCTGCCATACCCCACTTGAAGGTTGATAGGAGAGAGCGGTTTTAAAATAGGCTGAGAGAAAGTAGGGCCTGAGTACTGGTTATAGAAAGAGGTGTGGGTCATGGGTGGGCTTTGGGATCCTTTTAAAGCGTCGCCTCCCTCGTCCGCACTGTCAGTTCTCTCATCATCGTCTTCCTCCGTAGAAAAGGCAGGAGGCCGTCGTCTCTGGACTCTACGCTTACTCTTTGACTTTCTCTCTTCGTCACTTTGATCACTGCTTGATGAAGTGTCTCTACGGGCTTCACTTCTGTGACTGCGGGCACTTCCTTGGGAGGAGGCAGAGCTCCCTTTCTTCCCTCTGGGCTTGTGCTGGGATGGACTTGTACTGTTAATATCACTTACTGATTCTATCATCATCTGTGAAGAGAAGGGAATATAATACTAATACATTTGAATTTAAAAGAGAGAGAGAGAGAGAGAGGATAAGAGAAGAGAAGAGAGAAAGGAGGAAGAGAGGCTGTTGAGTTGGCCAAAACTAGCCTGAAAGAATGCACACACAGAAGCAGACAATGTCAACAGTGGCTGTGTTGCCAGGCAGCAACCATCGGAATGTTGTCATACTACAACATAGGAAATGCGGGGGCGTGACTGGGCAGCCTCAGCACTCATAATGTGTGTGTGTGTCTGGAGGGGCATGTATTTGGCAAAGGAGCGGTGAAGCCATGCAAAACAGCTGTCAGTGTGTAATAATAACTGGTGTAGTGTTACATGTATACAATACACACTCAGACACTTTATACTATAGTACACATCTCATTGGAATAACAACACAAGGCATTTATGGCACAACCATAAAAGGAAGTGAGGGAGATAGAGCAAATGTTTGTATCTGTGTATGTGTGTGTGTGTATATAAGGGCAAGAAAGAATGCAAGGAAATGGCTAACTGAGAAAGAAAGACAATACAATGAAAAGAGGATGGAGGGACATTTTAGACAAAAAGAGAAAGCAAGAAAGAAAGAAGAGAGAGAGAGAGACTGTATTTCACATGTACATGTACATGTATGTAGACTTATTATCATTGAAACAGTTTATATGTAACAACATGTACTGGATACAAGTAGTCTATTAATATCCATACATGTACATGCATCACATCACAGTATACTATTCACAAACAAGTGCTATACACATAATAGAGTATACTAATGATGACATTGTTGTAACCAAAGAAAGCTTTGGGATATTGTTTATGAATTGGAGAGGCACAAAAGAAACTGATCATTAGAAACAAAAAACTTCAACTTTAGCTTACCAAAATACACAGAGAGCATATATCTATCCACACACAAACACACACACACAAATAGGCAATGTTCAATGGTACATGTACATGCATGTTGATGAGGATGCGTCGTATATAGTCAATAGATGTATAAATGCTCTGTGTACTCACTTGATTATCATCCCACTAATGCAATTATGCCAGCCAAATAGACAGCCAACACACACAGTTATGTATTGATACTGATTACATTTATAATTATAACAAATTCCATAATAATGCAAAGCTCAGTAGGAACGCAACGTAATAATATATCAAAGACATATATATTTACCAACAAAAAAAATAACCCATTTAACATGCGCATAACTCTTAAAAGAGGACACCTATTCTAATATGACATATTACACGTTCGTGACACATGATATGCACACACACATTGACCCAATTAACATCATACGAACTAAAAGGGTCACATAAGAAGGGGTACATTGCTAATTAACGCCTTCCTTCACTACCTGGCCATAGACTAATACACAAAGTGAAGAGGGAGGAGAGGGAGAAAGAGGAGAAGAGAAATAAGGATAAAGGGTCATATTACACGAACTAGACTGATCTAGAGGATATCAATGTCACCATTGTCAAGAGACCAGGTTACTTAGTCAAAACAAGAGAGAGACTTCCAGATAGACACCACACACCATTCTAATATACAAACACCTACAATACATGTACACGCATAGTTGTACAATGGATGTTACTACTTATTAATAGAACAGTGTACACAAGCTAGCTATATATGTAACACCTGTATCACAACATAATTATGATTAACAGTGTGCTTGTGCTATATTTAGGAATACTAAAAGTAGTAGCAGTTGTACTATTAATAGAGTGACTACACAATGGAGTGTGGTAGAGAGGAATAGCTGGGAATAAGATCCACGGTGTATTTTACTATTTTACTACAATGATTCGTGATTGGCCATGTTATCAGATGATGAGTATTACTAATATGTAGACGCAATCCATTCAAATGACACCACGGGCAGCCATAAGAAGGAGTAGTCTACACATACAGAGAGAAGACAGGGAAGAAAGGAAGCCATGCTTAAGCAACCAGAAACCATACATTAGTTATGGGTAGGTGTCAACTTTATCAGACAAGACAGAAAGAGAGAGAGAGAGACAGAGAGAAGAGAGCTATTACATCAGGTACATGTATACATACACAAGAAGGAAAATTTAATAGAGAAAAGAATAAAAGTTGTGAGAAAAAAATACATACACAATTGTACATAAACATGTACATGTCACGTGATTGATAGTTTGTTCCTGGTAGCTCCAAAACTCTTAGGGAAAATTGCTTAGGGTACACAAGATGATGACAAAGTTGTGGGTTTTTATATACATTTCAGTTTCTGGTTATACAAAACATTAGACTATTGTTTATAATGAGGGCAATTGTTTTCCTATTGGAGCAACTTAACTTACACACAGACATGCACACAAATCACATTATGAATGTACATGCATACACATAGTAGAGGCAAGCATGACATTCTACTACAATCACATAATGCATAACACAATAATGACAGATTGTGATGTCAGACAATGTGGAATGTGGTTAATTGAACATGCATTGCCTAGGCAACGGGATTGGAATGTTAAACTGAAACTATTGGAATGAATGAGAGAATAGATAAAGAGAGAGAGGGGGGGAGAGGAGAGGAGGAACGAAGGGAAGGGGTAGAGGGTTTGCAGCGTAACGTGAGAAGAGACATGTTTTAAAATACAATTTCTTTTAATGTTAATTAATAAAAGTAAGGTGATGGAGAGGAAGGAAAAGAGAGTGAGAAGGAGGCATTAAAGGAAAATGAGCTCACCTTTGGACTTTATGGCAAGCTAAAATACACCATTAGTGAGTGAAACAATAATCGAACTCCTTTTTTGAGCGGAGGCGACGGGACAAAGATTCCTCTTGCCAACACTCCAAAAGTCTGGACTCGTCTCCAAAAACAGGTGCAGGAGAAAGAACGTAAAATGGGGAAATCAATGAATTGTAGTTGCTAGTTCTCTTCTCCCATTAAAGAGAAGAGGAATAGGGGATTTTACCGGGTTTAATAGTAAAAAGAAACCGAGGGCACACTGGAAATGGCGAGGAAATAAAAAGAGAACCCTCCCGAGCTAAGGAACGTCGGGCCCTTGAGATACACGAGAGAAAGAGATGGGAAGAAACAGGGCGAGTCTTGTGGTTGAGGATTACAAGAGTACATGCAAAGTGGGTCAGTCACCCCGAATCAATGGAATGCGGCGGCCAGTGTGGTATTAATGCTATAATAAGACACAATCTGCTCCTTCCCTTTGATGAGCTGGATTCCGGGCATACCAGACCCGTTGCTATGACTCCAGACTGCGCATGCGTAGTGGAGTCATCTTTCGCGGGAAATTTGTGTTTTGACTGAGCATGCGCAGAAATGCAAAAGGTCGGCGGGTGATTTGGCGGTAAGTGGGCAGCTCCGCGCATGCGCAGTCGCTAGAAATTGGCGCCAACCACTCCCAAAACATGGAGGGAAAAGAGACAGGAAAGATAGGGGCCCCGTCTCCTTGCACGTCTCAGGTTAACATTGTCATTAATGGCCACCTCTTACCAGGAATAATAAATGGACGTGAGTGGAACCCAAAAATTACTACCATTTTCCCTATTTTTTTAGTTATGGCATCAACCACTTCTGTTCCGCCTTCTCCAAGTCACGTGACCACTAAAGAAGGAGATCCCATTAAAGTACACATTGGTAAAGTAGTTTGAAATCACGTGATCCTTTTACGTTTAGGCTCCTAAAGTCCGACTTACCCCCGACCAAAGAGAAATGATAAAATTAGAGAAAGAGAAGGCAAGACTAGAGAGAGAGAGACTCAAGGCTGAAGCAAGGGAGAAGAAAGAGGCGGAGAAGAGAGCAAAGGCCGAGGAGAGGGAGAGAGTAAAGAGAGAGAGGTTGGCTAAGAAGGAAAAGGAGGAGAGGGAGAAGCAAGAGAGGCTGGCCTCAAAGCAAGCTGAACAAGAAAGAAAGCTCAAGTATGTCATTAATTATTATTTAGTTAATAGCAAGCAATTAATTAATTTTAATAATTATTATTAAGATGATGATAACTTATAAATTAATTTTAATTTTGCTATCAGAAGTTCAGAACAGCCCACAAAATTATTTCTATAAGTGTATATGATGTGCATGTACTTGTAGCCTAAATAAAGTCACTTTTTAACAACCTTTTATGTGTCATGTGATCAGGGAATGTTTATAAACTATGCATTTGCTGCTGTAGGGAGAAAGAGGAGCAGAAAAGATTAAAGGAGAAAGAAAAGGAGGACAAGGATAAATTAGCAGCTGCTGAGAAGGTATGGCTCATTTGTGACCATGTCTTTGTTTTACATTGTACTACATGTACATGTAGTTGAAAGCCAAGGAAAGGTTTTTAGGATTCTTTCAGAAACCACCCAAACAGCAGTCTAGACCAGTGGTATGTGTATTTTTTAAATTATTACTATTATATTAACACTTTCCCTGCACTCTTCTCTCTCTCTTTCTCGCTTTCTTTTTAAAATCTCTCTCTCTCTCTCTCTTTTCTAGGAAGTAGCTGAACAGGCCAAGTCTGTTTCTCCAATGGATTCTTCGCAGCTTCTCTCTTTTGAGGAGCTAATTCGCTCTCAGGTTAGTCAACAATCTGTCCCATTCAGTTGTCGTGTCAACACTTCAGGTCGTCGATAGCGATTATCTCCAAGCTTGTAAACACACTCGTCACCAAATATCTAAACGTCAAAGAAGAGAAAATAGAAAATCAGTGGAAGTAGATAATGCTCAAGTGTCTGTCATGGGAAATATCACTAATAAAAATGATGAATTAATTGTAATTAATGATTCCACAAATGTTGTTCAGGGAAGGTACAAATTACTGCAGTTTCACGAAAACCATCGCCCGGCTTATTTTGGTACTTGGTCAAAGTCCTCAAAGGTTCTAACTCCTCGTAATCCATTTAAGAAGGACAATGTGAGCTATTAAATTTTATAGCCTAAGTCTATGTTATGTGAACTTTGACCTTTTTCCTTTTTGTGACTGGAAATGGTTAATGATCAGGAATTGTGTGGATGGAGTAAATATACATATTAATCATATTATATTAGCAAGATATCTTCCCTTACTGGTGGCATGTTTTATGAGCTGTTCATTTGTATGTACATGTACATGATACATGTGTCACCATATTTATCCAGTAACTGCATAATGTCCATGTGGGAATAATTATAATACTTCAGTGCATATCTATGCACACAGAAATGAGGCTCTTCATATTCTTCAATACGTTCTTTTGGGGAAAGGTCCCCTTTTTCTATAACATTTAGTTTTTATTGCTTCTCCTTGGCTAATACTACTTATACCTGTGTCGGCTTCAATGTACATTGTAACGTGTTAGAAATAAATTTAATAAGAAATGTATTTAATTTCTCTGGTATCTGTGTGTGTTGGCACCACTCAGCAGGGCCTGTTGCTAGATTAGACTATATGGTACTATATTTACTGCATTGAATTGTACACAACTGCCATATTAGGATCACTCAATCGTATATACATGCACCAGTAATGAGCTACTATGTCTTTGCTATCCTTTCAAGTGTTTAGTGGTTGTACGGCTTGTGTAATAGTATATGTTATTATGGGAATTTTACGTGTTATTTATTGGGCTTGATACGCATGTACATTGTACATTGTAGTGGCTTATTTTCCATATTATAACATTCTGTTATATAATAATATGGTGCAAGTGTGTGTGTGTATTATGTACTGGTACTAATTTTTGTGCATGCCCACAAGAAATTTGAGCTCTTTGTCATTTCTTATGTACAAGCTTGATCTCACCATTTAGAAATTTAATTTCTCTAACTAGCGCTTACTGATTGATTTGATTTCAGCTGAAAGAAGCAGGTGGATGTACATTAAGTTGTATGTTACTATTAAGTTGCAATTTGACAATTTGTTTAATTATTGTTTGGAAAATTAGGGGAAGGCCAAAGTAGCTACATATGTGTGTGTACTGTGTACATTTACTGTCAGTTAGTCTTATGTATGTTTTTGAGCTGATTCTATTCAAATTTGGGTTTTTGAATTTTTAAAGTTGCTTCAAAATTGAGCTAAAGTCCCTGTACTATAGTACAGGGCTATTGGCTAAATTTCACCAAAAAATGACTAGATGGGAATTCTTCATTTTTATATTTATTTCTTGTACATGTACATGTTCTTATCTTGTCTAGAAAGTTTGAGCTGATTTCGATCAAATTTGTATTTTATACAAATTTTTTAAGTTGTTTACTTGTACATGTATAATCGTGTGCATTATTAATAGTGCTTCATTATCATAAATAGGATTTATTTGATTACGATTGTGAGAGTGACTTAGAATGGGAAGAAGAAGAGCCTGGTGAGAGTCTCTCGGCTCAAAGTGACGTGAGTACTCAGTTAGCTCCACCCACATTATATAATTGTGTTGTATAGGATGAGGTAGAGTCAGGAGATGAGGAGGAAGAGGAAGATGGGTTCTTTGTTCCTCACGGGTACCTGTCGGATGGGGAGGGGGATCAAAGTGAAGATGAAAAGGTGAAATCATAAAACAGAAATTGATGTTAAATTGGATAAAGCCAGAATACTGTATAGAGCTGGAACTGCTGCCAATATCAAATTCATTTTTATGTTTCATTCTAACTTAACTGCTGAATCACCAATATCAAATCTGCAGATTAAAAAATATTTTAACTCCTGCCAATATTTTCAGCTGTGTGTGAGCGTTGCTATTCATAGCAATAGCATTTGGTGGTTTTAAATTTTGGCATTATAAATGCATAATATTATGTATTAGCAATCTAATGTTGCACTTTTAATATTAAATATGTATGCATAGTACTTAAAACTCTGCCAAATTAAAGTGCTATATTGTCGATAAATAGAAAGAATTTTAATTTTATGAGCAGCTGTCAAATTCTTGCCTGTTGTGTGACGATGTTGCTAATAACACTAATCAATGTTAATTGGGTCAGAGGCCATTCAAAGGTGTCTTTAGTAAGAAAGAGGAAGGCCTTCCAGTCCAGACATAATGTCACACACTAACAAATTAGTGTATATGAGTGTGAAATGATTGTCAGATAGTGTCAATAGTAAGTGTGATGAATGCATTCTGCGAACTGCCAAGCTAATAACATTGTGATGTGTTAGATTTGCTATTTATTGATGTACAAGTGTGGCAAATGTTAATATTTAAAAGCTGTCTTTTTTGTACAAGTTAAATTTGGCTCTGACAAAATTTCTTTGTATGCTCACCTACTTTGTTATGATTTTTATGATTACTGTGTGTGTCCTTTCTTTTACATCTTTCTTCTCTTTCTCTAGGACAAAAGAGAAGAAAAGAATCTTGCCAAAGCTAAAGCCTGGGAAGCAGAATTCTCCCGTCAATTCAAAAAACTAGTCCCTGTAAAAGTAGGTGTGGTATGGTCATCATCAGTCGTCGATGAAAACTCTAAATCTATTCTTGAAAGTTTCTCTGCAATTCCTCTTGTGCAGCTTCCAATAAAAATCACCGAGTCACAACCAGTAGCCAAAGTATCTGCATCCACCTCAAAGAAATTGGGGAAGCGTTGTCATGACGAAATAACAACGCCCACCATGAAATCTTTAAAGGACTTTTTCAAGTCATCGTTAAGTGACTCAAAAAGAGACAACGGTAATGTTGCTCGTTGCCTTGATCTTACTCCTACTCAACCAAAAAGACCAAAACTAACTACGCCCATTTTAGAAAATGCCACTCCTACAAACGTAATTTTAATCGATGAGTCTGATTCTAAAGAAAATATAGCTGTTTGGTGTGGTAACAATAAAGACACTCCCAGTTCTGATGAAAGAGTAGAAATTGTTCCAAATTCAGAGGAAAGAATGGAAATCAGTGATAGTAAAGATTGCAAGGATGAGGGTAAAGATTGCAAGGATGGGAGTAAAGATTACAAGGATGGGAGTAAAGAACTTCAGAAGATTGACTGGAATAAATGTCTTGCTGTGAGTCAGCAACTAACAGTCCCTGTTGATTGCCATTTGTAGATTACACAATAAAGCCATTTACTACTGATATCATGCGCATCATATATGCTTTATATAACAATCTCTTGCTCTCTCTTTCTTGATATTTTAATCAATTTGTGTTCTCATTTTGATGATTCTTTATATGTATTTGGATCACTTGATTTAAAATTAGTCTTGATATACAATAATTACCAAAACTTGCCTTTATAAGTTTACGGTGTGCATACAATTTTAAATTGGCTTTCATCTTCGCTTCTACTTTTATAATTATATTTCATGCAAACATTACTCTCCATTTTACTCTATAGTACAATGGGCATTCATTATTATTAAATTTTATTTTTTTAGATTTTTAATTTGGTGTTTTTGCTTATTATCACTACAGTTGCTAAACCCTGAAGCCATGGGCATAAAACACTTTGAAGTATGCACAATACCCAATACAGTACTACTGATAAGATTACACAGATGCTGCATATGCTTTATAGTAGTGATTTAGTGCCTGAATCACAACAAGTTGTTATTAACCTCTTGCTTGTACTTAAATATAACCCCATAATAAATATACCGGTATACTGTTAAGGTTTATTCCATGACTAACCATGTGTTGCCACTAGATATACACTCATAAATGGTAGCTTTGGTAGAGTATGTAGTAAGCAGGAGGTGACGTGAGGAGATGCTGATAGTAGGGAAATGTTTCTTTAATTGTGTCTGAATTCTTTTGTCTCCCTACACTTCAAGGAATTGTGTACTATGCAATTGAAAGGAATATTTTGTACTGTAACACAATTTCAAAATATATACAGTTAAGGTTAATGGGAAGAGATACTGATAGTAGGGAAATGTTTCTTTAATTACGTCAAAATTCTTTTGTCTCCCTACACTTCAAGGAATTGCGTACTATGCAATTGAATTTATTTCAAAGAAATATTTTGTATTGTAAGACACTAATTTTTTAAAATGTATGAAGTTAAGGCTATTCTCATCCATGGCTAACTATGTAAAATGTACACTAATAAATAAATGGTAGTTTTGGTAGAGTACCATATAGCGGGTTTATTCCAAGGGTAACAAATTTTGTGGATTTTTGAAGATTCGTGAAATTAAATTCCTTGAAAATCAATCTATTACGGTACAAGATGGCAGAAAATTGGCAATTCGCAAAAATTAATTCCGTGAACTTCTAAATGCAGACCATTCACGAAAATTATTATCCTCGAAATAAACCCGCTATATGGTATTTAGTAAGCAGGAGGTATCAAGTTAAGAAATGTGACAAAAACTGATTGAGTTAACTTATTGCCACTTAAGCATTTATTCAATGTACACTCATAAGTGAGAGTATGCAGTAAACAGGAGGTGACGTGAAAAGATGCTGACTGGTTTAAGCTGAAGGGATGTTTCATGAACTACGTCAAAATTCTTTGTCTCCCTACACTTCAAGGAATTGTGTTTAAGGAATTACTTTTATACTATGTAGTTAGAAATATTTGTACTGTAACACACTAATGCATAACTTTATAGTGTTGCTAATGCATAACCTATTAGTAATAGTGAAATATTTACAATGTAATGGGACAAATATGTATCAGATTCCAGGTTTAGAGAACAAGTATATAAGGGTCACTCACACAAACAGTCAGTCAGTCAAGACGTGAGTATGTCTCTCCTGTTAGTAGTTGTTCTCTTATTCTTCAGTAGCTCCTGCAGTGTCTCCTCTGGTCAGTATTATGTGTCTGATGACTGCAGTTCAGTTACTCAGTCACCCTGTAATCCTTTACCAGTGTATGCTGGGGATATGTCTCAATACAATAACACCATCTTCTACTTCATTGGAACTAGTGTCGTTAACTTTACTTTTTCAATGGACTCAGTACAGAATATAACTCTACATGGACTGGACCAGTCTCCTACCATTTACTGCCTCTATTATGGGTCTATACAGACCTATGCAAGCAGTCATGTCAGTTTCAGTAACATATTGTTCCAGGAATGCTCCGTAAGTTTGGAATTCTCAAATAATATCACAATTACTGGTTCTGTTTTTAAAAGCCGACGTGTTAGACTTGGCAATGTTTTTGATAGTAAGGTAACATCTTCAGCTTTTGATAATGCTACCCATGGTTTATATATTATCTATTATCTACCATTCGTGTGCTATCATGAATTACAACATTACTCATTAACACTGACTAATGTTACTATGACTAGTAACTATGGCCTTACCCTATGTCTGAATCACGGTACCTCATATAACATATCAGTTATTCTTGATAATGTCACCAGTGGGAATGGTGCTTCTAATTATTTCAGTGAATCTCTTTTTTCTCTGTATATTACCAATTCATTAATATCTAATTCACGAGCTAATTCAGATGCAGGATTTTCTTTTAATTTTTTTGCATTTCAGCAATCAAAAAATTGTGATATCAAAGGCACTCAGTCACAATCCACTATTTTAATTGAAGACTCTCAATTTCACAACAATACTTATGGATTTAGGCTTACTGGAAGCTATTCTGAATTAAATACCTATCATACTATTATTATTACTGTTCGGTCATGTTCAATACGTGACAATAATTACGGTTTATCAGTTAATGGACATTTATCGGCATTAATTCATATGAATTTTATAAATACTGAACTTGTTGGAAACAGAAGAAATGAGCTAACAGGGTGCCTTTCTATTATTCTTAATAACATTACTGTTGCAAATAGTCTATTAACAGGGCTGGTGGTTATAGCCTCTGTAGTAACTGTGGAAAATAGACTATCAATTAAGAATAATACTGGAGTGGTTGGAGGAGCTATAGCAATAAATGGCTCATCTGTCATGTTGCTATCATCATCAGCTAACTTGGAGTTCATTGATAATCATGCATCTTATAAAGGTGGAGGGATTTATATTGATCAGCAAACTCGATGTCAATTTATACGTAAACATGGTTTAGTGTCACCCATACCTCTTACGTTAAAGGGTAATACAGCCGGAGTGGCTGGAAATGATACATATGGGCAAACCCATTCATTGTTCAATGGTTTATTCACTTTGACAAATCCTAAAATTGATACATCAAGTGATGAGGCTCTGCTCATTTTTTGTGATCCTGATAGCAATAATGCCATACCAATTTGGGATTACGAAGTGCAACATGTTTTTCCAGGTCAAGCACTGAAATATAATGTTGCATTTTTTTCCGAAAATTACAACGGCTCATACAGTTTTACAGATGGCACAATCACGTTAGTTATTAATGGAACATTTGAAATAAACAAGTACATTGCTAAATGTTCACTTGTTGAATACACACCAAAATATATCAGCTATGGAGAACATATCATTGCAGTCACTGTCACTATTCATGGGTTATCAAACTTACAGTATAATATTCCCTTCATTTTTAATGAGTGTCCTATTGGTTTCAGTGTAAACAGTTCAGGTGTATGCACTTGCAGTGTTTCAAGAGAGAATGTGACATGTGATATAGATAGTCTAAACATTACACACAATGGTCTACTGTGGATTGGAACATATGATACCAGTACACCTTTCAATGCTAATGAAACCAATCCTAATGCATGCATTATCAATGAGAACTGTCTCTTCTATTGCTCTCCTAATCCTGTTACCTTTCAGTTGAATGACACTGATACTCAATGTGTGGATAATAGAGGACACAGAATGTGTGGATCATGTAGAGAAGGATACAGTCTACTAATGGGATCAAACAAGTGTGGACATTGTCGTAATAATTACATAATAATAGCTTGGATTGCTCTGTTTGCAGTGATGGGTATACTACTTGTGGTTCTACTGATTGCTCTCAATTTAACATTATCATTGGGTACACTCAATGGTCTATTGTTCTATGCTAACATTGTCAAGTTATACGAGCCAGTCTTTTTAAGGGAAGGAGCATTACCAATCTTGAGTCAAGTCATATCATGGATTAACTTAGACTTTGGGTTTGAGATATGTTTTTACAATGGTATGGATAGTTATGCTAAACAATGGCTTCAGTTTGCTTTCCCTCTCTACCTGTGGATAATTATCTTTATTATTATACGGTTGTGTAAAAGATACGGTAAGATGTCAAAATTGATGGGGTCTCATGTTGTTCCTGTTTTATGTACACTTACTTTTCTTTCGTATACTAAACTAGTATGTACTATTGTTATTGTACTACACAAGCGTGAGGTAACTCTTAACTGTACAAATGAGTCAGTAAGCTCAGTTAGTTTATGGTATGAGGATCCTAATGTTGAATATGCTAAAGGGAAGCATGCTGGACTATTTGGATTTGCCCTATTGGTGTCTGTTTTCTTTGTCATACCATACACACTGTTCCTTTTATGTCATTCGGTAATTGAGAGGCGTCTGTCGCATTTTAAACTGTTTAAAAGTTGGAGTCGTTTCAAGCCCATTATTGATGCTTATAGTGGTCCAATGAAAGATGATTATCGGTTCTGGCCTGGTCTACTGCTAGTGACTAGGATACCAGTACTTTTAATTGTCACCTTTTTAAAAAATGAATCGCATTTCTTGCTGTTGGCAGTAGCAGCTATTATCCTCTCCCTTAGTTTTATCTTTGGTGGTGTGTACAGAAAGAAAGTAAACACAATCATAGAATTTTGGTTCCTGTTAAACTTGTGCATCATGGCTACTTTATCTGTAGCTTTTAATGATGACAGTAAAGCATTGATCTGGTACAATACTTGTTTATCTGTTTTTGTTTTCAGTTTTATTTTGATTGTTATTTATCATCTTCACCTGCAGTTATCACATATGAAATGTTATGATGCTCTAACTAAGAAGTTATTCAAGAAACAAGATGAAGATGATCAAGATGTCACTGAATTGCATAAAACTGTTGATCAACAAATGAGAGAAATTGTACCAAGTTCTACTGATGTTAAACTCACTACTAGTCGTGAATCAGTTGTTGATTTGTTTCAGTATAGTATTTAGTTAATTAATCATACTATCTATCATTAATTTTTGCTACTTCAGTTTTAAAAAAAAGAATGTTCTTAAAAATCAAACAAAGATTAAAATAACAATGCTTTTTATTGAAACTAATTTCATTTTACCCTTCTACATGCAAACATTATCAAATTACAGTTATTGTAAAGGTCATGTGTACAGAGATACTATTGGATAATGTACTGTATGTAAATTATGTGGTGACATTAAGAACAGAATAAGTAACAAATGGTTGCTACTGAACAAGCAGTAAATATTTGATAACAAAACCAACAAGCAATGCAATACATAACAATAGCAGCAATACAATAACAAACAAAAATGAACAACAATATTGCATCAAATCTCAAGTTGTCATGTTCATCAAATCTTAGATATTACTATCTATTACTATGATTATAGTAGTGTTTGTTTAAGGTATAAAAGCAAAAATTTGACAGTCACTATTGCTGGCTATGTCGTGTGGATACTTCGGATCATTAAGCCAATGGTTAAGCTATCTTTCTTGCACAAAGAATATCCGGGTTCAATTCCCGGGTGATCAACCTTACATCCACTGACGCAATCCAGCTTTTTTCATTTTTTCGGCCATCAATCGTTTTCATGATACACTAATTATTGGTATCTTTATTATGGATCATGCCCTTTTTATCATGCATGAATACATTAGTCAGAGATCATCAATCATGATTAAAGTCCATTTGCATTCACCTGAGCCCAGGAAGTGATTAGAAACCCCACCCAATAATTAACACAATGCAATAATTATTGTGAAAAGTATGGCTGTACTTTCTGCATGGGTTATACAGCCAACTTGGAGCTAAAGAGCTAAAGCTGCTTCTTAAGTAGTACAATAGATGCGGCAAAAGGAGAGGAATGCACTAGTATGTTTATTTTTACAATAGAACTTGTAAGTCAAAAGTTATTGCAAGAAAACAAGGGCTCAGGTGAACACAAATGGACTTTAGTAGCTTCATCAACTGCTACACTTGTGACATCATTGGTGCGTGGGTGGAGGTAAATTAATTGGACTGCTCTATGGAAATTATTGTTGTGAACCACCAACTATTGTAAGAATAAAAGCATTATAATATTGATGATGGTGATAATAGATCTAAATGTATATTAAAGGTGACAATTATAGAGAAACGAAAAGGACTCGACCCATAATCTTGTGTATAATTTTGAGTGGATTGAGATTAAAACTGGATCTTTAGTGATGCATGTACAGGTATTCTTATGTGTAGCCAAAATTGAGTTTGTTACAAGCTTTCAAAGTTTGGTCAAAATCTTGAATTGTTATACAAAGACTTTAGCCAAATCATAAATACGGACTTGAATCTATGGCCAAATTTTGTCAAAAATGGCTAGGAGAGAATTCTCCATTTTAATAATTTTTTCTAATACATATACATGTTCTTATGTTGTGTAGAAAGTTTGAACTCATTCCGATCAAATTTGAATTTTTTATGAATTCTTAAAGTTATTTAAAATTGGGCTCAAGACCAAAGGCTATAGCCTTTGGTCAAAAGCCAAATTTTGCCAAAAATGACTAGGAGAGAATTCTATATTTTTATAATTTTTTCTGATACATATACATGTTCTTATGTTGTGTAGAGAGTTTGAACTCATTCCGATCAAATTTGGATTTTTTATGAATTCTTAAAGTTATTTAAAATTGGGCTCAAGACCAAAAAAGCCAAATTTTGTCAAAAAAATGACTAGGAAAGAATTCTCTATTTTATAATTTTTTCTGATACATATACATGTTCTTATGTTGTGTAGAAAGTTTGAACTCATTCTGATCAAATTTGGATTTTTTAATGAATTTTTAAAGTTATTTCAAAAATGGGCCCGAGACCAAAGGCTATAGCCTTTGGTCAAAGCCAAATTTTGCCAAAGATGACTAGGAGAGAATTCTCTATTTTTATAATTTTTTCTGATACATATACATGTTCTTATGTTGTGTATAAAGTTTGAACTGATTTTGATCATGTTTATATTTGTTATGTTTTTTTTAATTTGCTCAATAATTGGATCAATGTCCTGTACTGTAGTACAGGGGGTTTAGCCAATTTTTGAAAAAAATAAAACAGAAAAAAATTTTCAATTTTTATAATTAAAAAAAATACATATACATGTTCTTATGTTGTGTAGAAAGTTTGAGCAAAATCCGATTAAAATTGAATTTTATATAAATTTCTAAAAGTTACTCAAAAACTGGGTCACTTCACCAAAAATGAATAAAAGAAAATTCTTCATTTTAATGATTTTTTCTGATACATATGCATGTCCTTACGTTAAATTTTGAGCTGGATTTAATATAATTTTAATTTTTAAAACTGCTCAAATGTCTTACCAAACTACCTGTAGTGTACTATAAATTTCAAAAGGAAATTGAGTTGGAGCTTCAGGACACGTATGATAATTGACTAGTGCTGTAATTCCAGGATAATCGTCTTTTATTATTATTATGTCAAATTAGCTAATTAGATTTGTACATGTACATGTGTATGTCTAGCTACCTACACATCCTGTGTGTTCTTAAAGATGTGGTCACTGAAAATTGCATTAGTTCATAGTAAATGTAAGTACTTTGTGTGCATTTACAAACTAAGAGTACTCTTTGACTAATTTTAGTACATGTTTGTAACAAATTATTAATATAATTAATTTGTTTCACCAGAATTCTGTCAGACAACAAACTGGGGAAATTTGTACTACATGTTTTGGTAGTACTTGTAATGTTTTAACCATCTGCTGCTAGGTATTGCCCTATTATTGCTTACTAGAATTTTATAAAGTTTCTCAGTATTCTTCAAACAGTTATTACTTTGTGGTTCAGCAGTATCAATATCATGCAGTTATGTGGATGTATGTTAATTTCTTTTGATCGTTTATTTACTATAGCACCTATTGTGGGACACATGGATATATATGACCACAATTGAATACTGCTATGTGAATATCATCATACATGTGTAGTAAGCAGCTTCCACTATGCAGTTGTGTTGTGTTGTATATTTTAAAGTAACAGCAAATTTTGCTTTTGATGGCATAGATGATAGCTTATGTTTTTTTCTTTCTTTCTCTCTCTCTCCTTCCTCCTCTCTCTTTTCCTTAAATCTACTAGTATTTGGCATAAATTATTATGGTTGCTCATCTTGGAAGTTGGAACAATTGAGAACTTTTGTCCACAAAGAGTTCAGATTATATGCTAACTCCAGATTTATAATCACTAGAGACTGCAGATGATGCTCAGGTTTGTCTTTCTTGCACGCTATGGTAATATTCTTTTAACTATAAATATGAAAGGATTCTGTTGTGATGGCTATTTGCCTTAATATGATTTATTATAGACAGTGAGTAGAGCGACACCAAGTACTTAGCATACGCTTACTAGTATATTGTGTTTTCTATAGACTAGAGATGAGTATACCTTATTGGGCAGGCTCTTCGTATCAGCATAGAAATGATTCTCCTTTGTGATGTAGCTCATCACTTTATTTTAATAATATATGGTTATTTTAATAGGTCTCTCAATTCCCCATTTCATTGAGCACAATGTATACCATACTGTCTATAGCAATTCTACATAATTGTCTTGTGTTATTCCTAATGCACACTTTTATTATGAAATAAGTAACACTTTGAGCATATAAACATTAAGTAAATCTTTATAAATGAGAGTTTGTGTCGGTCTGGTTCCCATGCTCTTTTAACACTTATATTACTCTGTTGATTGGTTTGTAGTAAAATGTCACTGGTGTTTAATTAAGACATAATTGTAATCTTTGTTATCAGATTTAGTGGCATGTGCATAAAGTTCTTATTATAATCATTTGCTAAAAACAGGGTGAAATTAAATTTGCTCTATAAATACATTAAACAGTAGGACTGTGTATGCATGCACGTTCTACTTGAGTGACCATTATTAGAATGGAATGTAATTAGACTTAGACTATGCCACCTGTATAATTTTCTGAAACCTCTGAAGGTATTGTCATACCCACACAAATTTTTGGCTATAAACTGGAGATGTATTGCAAGATTTAGCTACCTATACACTCAGTCAGCTCACAGATGAATTTTCTGTTATTTCTACTGGGGGCCACTCTTTTTCAGTTGTGTTTAGGGGAAGAAGAGAACAATGATATATATGGCATTGCCTATAATTCTGATGATCTCATAGATGGCTACAGCAAAACTATTGCTACATCTTTCTTTCTCTATACATCAATTTCACCAACAGACTTTATTGCCAACCTTGAGCCAACAACTGTTTACAGCCATGAAACAGGTCATAGTAGCTTGAGTTCATTTGCACCTGCTTCTTCATCATATCAGTCTTTAACTGGCTCGCTCTCTCCTACTGAATTGCTTCATGATGTCAGTACAGCAAAGCTATCATCATTTACAACCAGCACAAGCTCGGGAGATATCTCATTAGTTGCAGCTACAGATTCACCATCTTATGTGCAGTCAATGCTGGTAAAGTCAAGCTCACCTAGCACCGAACCAATCTTTCCATCAAGTGTTGATTTAGCTCAGCTAGAAGCACAAAGTAGCACTAAATCAATGCAAGCATATTCAGCTTCACAAAGAAGTGAATCAAATTTAGCATCAACAGCCTTGGTAAGTGCTAGATCAACTCAGTCACTAGATCTATCAGCATCCCCAATTTTTGAAGTAACTCAATCAGTTTCAGCTGTGATAACAACAGAATCAACTCAATTAGGCCTGCCAAGTCCTGAATCAACACATAGTGCTACTTCAGTTATTACTGAATCAACAGAAACATTTTTAGTTTCGTCAATTACTCAGTCATCACAACTACTTTCAGCCTCACAAAGTAGTGAATCATATTCCCTTATTTCAACTATGCCAATCACTAAATCAACGCAATTGATATCAATTTCACTAAGTCATAACTTATCTCAATCAACTTTAATTTTTGCAACTGTATCATCTCAATTTATTTTAGCATCATCAATCGCTGAATTTCCTTTGCCTACTGAATCAACACGAGTCATACTAGCCTCGTCAGTTGTTCAATTGACGCAATCAATTTTAGCTTCAGCAAATACCAAATTAACTCAAACAATGTCAGCTTTATCACATGCTGACACATCTCAATTTATTTCAAATTATCCAATCACTCAATCAATTTCATTAGCTTCACCAAGTGTTGAATTAACTCAGTCATCAGAAATTACAGAGTCATTTACAAGTTCACCAATCAATGAGTCACATTATGTAATATCAACCTCACCAAGTGTTCAATTAACACAACTTAGTTCAGGCTCGTTAATTATTAAATCAACTCAATTATTATCAGCTTCAGCAATTATTGAAACAAGTCGATCAATTTCTGATTCACCAATCACTACATTAACTCAATCAAATTCACCTCTGCCAAGTACTGCATTAGTTTCAGGTTTGCCAAGTACTGAATTAATTTTACCTTCACAAAGTATTGAATCAACACAATTAATTTCTGCTTCACCAAGTTCTATGTCATCTCAATTTGTTTCAGCTTTGCTAATCACTAAATCAACTCAATTAACATTTGCTTTTTCTACTGAATCATCTCCAAGTGTAGAACTAACACAATCTATTTCACCATCTGAATCAACAAAATTCATATCAGTTGTTAAATCAACCCAATCAATTTCAACTTTACTAATGACCAAATCAGTATCAGCCTTGCCAAGTGTTGAAGTAACTCAATCAATTATAACTTTATCAATAACTGGATTGACCCAAACAACTTCGACAGTTACAGAATCAACTCGAACGATTTCTGCAACACCAACTTTGTTGATCAATGAATCAACACAATCAATGTCAGCACCACCATGTGTTGAGTTAACTCAATCAATTTTAAATTTACCAATCACTGAATTAACTCAAATATTATCAGCTTCGGCATATGCTGAATCAACTCCATCAATTTCTGCTTCAACAAGTGCAGAAATATTTTTAACTTCGTCAATCACTAAATCAGCACAATCAATATCAGCCTCACCAAGTGTTCAATTAGTTTCAGGTTTGCCAAGTACTGAATTAATTTTACCTTCACAAAGTATATTAACACAATCAATTTCTGCTTCAACAAGCATTGAATCAACTCAATCAATTTCTACTTCACCAAGTGTTGAATCAACTCGATCAACTTCTGCTTCAACAATTACTGAATCAATTCAATCAACTTCTGGTTCAATAAAAACTGAATTGAGTCAATCAATTTCTGCTTCAGAAAGTGTTGAATCAACTCAATCAATTTCTGCTTCAGAAAGTGTTCAATCAACTCAATCAATTTCTGCTTTAACAAAAACTGAATTGAGTCAATCAATTTCTGCTTCGCCAAGCATTGAATCAACTCAATCATATCCTGCTTCACCAAGTGTTGAATCAACTCAATCAACTTCTGCTTCACAAAATGTTGAATCAACTCAATCCTTTTCTGCTTCAACAAATGCTGAATTAACACCAAGTGTTAAATCAACTCAATTATTTTCTGCTTCAGAAAGTGTTACAACTCAATCAATTTCTGCTTCACCTAGTGTTGAAACAACTAAATCAATTTCTGATTCAGAAACTGTTGAATCAACTCAATCATTTTCTGCTTCAACAAATACTGAATTGAGTCAATCAATTTTTGCTTCACCAAGAATTGAATCAACTCAATCATATTCTGCTTCACCAAATGTCGAATCCACTGAAACAACTTCTGCTTCAACAAAAACTCAATTGACTCAATCAATTTTTGATTCACCAAGTGTTGAATCAACTCAATCAATTTCTGCTTCACAAAGCATTGAATCTACTCAATCATTTTCTGCTTCAATAAATACTGAATTAACACCTAGTGTTAAATCAACTCAATCAATTTTTGCTTCACCAAGCATTGAATCAACTCAATCATTTTCTGCTTCAACAAATACTGAATTGAGTCAATCAATTCCTGCTTCACCAAGCATTGAATCAACTCAATCATTTTCTGCTTCACCAAGTGTTGAATCAATTCAATCATATTCTGCTTCACCAAGTGTTGAATTAACTCCATCAATTTATGCTTCACCAAGCATTAAATTAACTCAATCATTTTCTGCTTCACCAAGTGTTGAATCAACTGAATCATTTTCTACTTCGCCAAGCATTGAATCAATTCAATCAACTTCTGCTTCAACAAATACTCAATTGACTCAATCAATTTTTGCTTCACCAAGTGTTGAATCAACTCAATCATTTTCTGCTTCAACAAATACTGATTTGAGTCAATCAATTCCTGCTTCACCAAGCGTTGAATCAACTCAATCATATTCTGCTTCACCAAGTGTTGAATCAACTCCATCAATTTATGCTTCACCAAGCATTGAATCAACTCAATCATACTCTGCTTCACCAAGTGTTGAATCAACTCAATCACCTTCTGCTTCAACAAATACTCAATTGACTCAATCAATTTTTGCTTCACCAAGTGTTGAATCAACTCAATCATATTCTACTTCACCAAGTGTTGAATCAACTCAATCAACTTCTGCTTCAACAAATACTGAATTGACTCAATCAATTCCTGCTTCACATAGCATTGAATCAACTCAATCATTTTCTGCTGCAATAGATACAGAATTAACACCTAGTGTTAAATCAACTCAATCAATTTTTGCTTCACAAAGTGTTGAATCAACTCAATCATTTTATGCTTCAACAAATACTAAATTGAGTCAATCAATTCCTGCTTCACCAAGCATTGAATCAACTCAATCATATTCTGCTTCACCAAGTGTTGAATCAACTCCATCAATTTATGCTTCACCAAGCATTAAATCAACTCAATCATATTCTGCTTCACCAAGTGTTGAATCAACTCAATCAATTCATGCTTCACCAATCATAAAATCAACTCAATCATTTTCTGCTTCACCTAATGTTGAATCAACTCAATCAATTGCTGCTTCACCAAGCATTGAATCAACTCAATCAATTTCTGCTTCAACAAGCATTGAACCAAATCAATCATTTCCTGCTTCACCAAATGTTGAATCAACTCCATCAATTCATGCTTCACCAAATGTTGAATCAACTCCATCAATTCATGCTTCACCAAGCATTAAATCAACTCAATCATTTTCTGCTTCACCAAGTGTTAAATCAACTGAATCATTTTCATCTTCAGCAAGTGTTGAATCAACTCAATCAACTTCTGCTTCAACAAATACTCAATTGACTCAATCACCTTCTGCTTCAACAAATACTCAATCAACTCAATCATTTTCTGCTTCACCAAGCATTGAATCAACTCAATCATATTCTGCTTCACCAAGTGTTGAATCAACTCAATCAACTTCTGCTTCAACAAATACTGAATTGACTCAATCAATTCCTGCTTCACATAGCATTGAATCAACTCAATCATTTTCTGCTGCAATAGATACAGAATTAACACCTAGTGTTAAATCAACTCAATCAATTTTTGCTTCACAAAGTGTTGAATCAACTCAATCATTTTATGCTTCAACAAATACTGAATTGAGTCAATCAATTCCTGCTTCACCAAGCATTGAATCGACTCAATCATATTCTGCTTCACCAAATGTTGAATCAACTCCATCAATTTATGCTTCACCAAGCATTAAATCAACTCAATCATATTCTGCTTCACCAAGTGTTGAATCAACTCAATCAATTCATGCTTCACCAATCATTAAATCAACTCAATCATTTTCTGCTTCACCTAATGTTGAATCAACTCAATCAATTGCTGCTTCACCAAGCATTGAACCAACTCAATCATTTTCTGCTTCACCAAGTGTTGAATCAACTGAATCATTTTCATCTTCAGCAAGTGTTGAATCAACTCAATCAACTTCTGCTTCAACAAATACTCAATTGACTCAATCAATTTCTGCTTCATCAAGCATTGAATCAACTCAATCATTTTCTGCTTCAACAAATACTGAATTGAGTCAATCAATTCCTGCTTCACCAAGCATTGAATCAACTCAATCATATTCTGCTTCACCAAGTGTTGAATCAACTCCATCAATTTATGCTTCACCAAGCATTAAATCAACTCAATCATTTTCTTCTTCACCAAGCATTGAATCAACTCAATCATATTCTGCTTCACCAAGTGTTGAATCAACTCAATCAACTTCTGCTTCAACAAATACTGAATTGACTAAATCAATTTCTTCTTCACCAAGCATTGAATCAACTCAATCATTTTCTGCTTCACCAAGTGTTGAATCAACTCAATCATATTCTGCTTCACCAAGTGTTGAATCAACTCAATCATATTCTGCTTCACCAAGCATTGAACCAATCCAATCATTTTCTACTTCGCCAAGCATTGAATCAATTCAATCAACTTCTGCTTCAACAAATACTCAATTGACTCAATCAATTTTTGCTTCACCAAGTGTTGAATCAACTCAATCATTTTCTGCTTCAACAAATACTGATTTGAGTCAATCAATTCCTGCTTCACCAAGCGTTGAATCAACTCAATCATATTCTGCTTCACCAAATGTTGAATCAACTCCATCAATTTATGCTTCACCAAGCATTGAATCAGCTCAATCATACTCTGCTTCACCAAGTGTTGAATCAACTCAATCACCTTCTGCTTCAACAAATACTCAATTGACTCAATCAATTTTTGCTTCACCAAGTGTTGAATCAACTCAATCATATTCTACTTCACCAAGTGTTGAATCAACTCAATCAACTTCTGCTTCAACAAATACTGAATTGACTCAATCAATTCCTGCTTCACATAGCATTGAATCAACTCAATCATTTTCTGCTGCAATAGATACAGAATTAACAACTAGTGTTAAATCAACTCAATCAATTTTTGCTTCACAAAGTGTTGAATCAACTCAATCATTTTATGCTTCAACAAATACTAAATTGAGTCAATCAATTCCTGCTCA